AAGTAGCTCTGAGTAAAACAAATCTGATGTGAGTATAACATTTAAAAAGATGAATACTGTCTAAATCTACAGTAGCAAATTGTATGTGGAAATGATCACAGACTGGAAAACTGGCATAGAGCCACAGACTGAATAACAAATAACAGAGTTGGAAGGGACCTTGGAGGTCTTCTAGTCCAATCCCCTGCTCAAGCTGGAAACCCTATCCATTTCAGACAAATGGTTATCCAATCTCTTCTTTAAAAACATCCAGTGTTGGAGTACCTACAACTTCTGGGGGCAAGCTGTTCCACTAGTAAATTGTTCTCATTATTAGGAAGTTTCTCCTTAATTCTAGGTTTCTTCTCTCCTTGATTAATTTCTTTGTGACATCCCCTTAGATATTGGAACACTGCTATCAAGTCAACCCTAGTCCTTTTCATTAAACTAGACATACCCAATTCCTAAAACTGTTCTTCGTATGTTTTAGCCTCCAGTTCTCTAATCATCTTTGTTGCTCTTATCTGCACTCTTTCTAGAGCAGGGATGTCAAACTTGATTTCATTGAGGGCTGCATCAGGATTGTGTTTGACCTCAGAGGGCCGGGGTGGGTGTGTGGCTGGGGGTGGGCATGGTCATGGTGGGTGGAGGAGGTACAAGAATACCACTCAACAGTCACGCCTCCTGCCCCCTGCTGAAGACTAGAATCAAAAACCCCTTCCATCAGACATCCCCCAACCTGGGAGCCCCCCCTGCTGGCAGGGATGAGAGGTGTTGCGTCTGTCCTCTCCAGCTTTTGGGGGGCTGTGATAGATTGTGGTTGCTTTTTTATTTCTTCTTTAGGAAAAAAAAAACCCAGACAAACACACTCATCTGAGTAACAAAAATTATTGCTTTGTGTTTCCACAAAGTATTAATTAGCCGAGTTTCCCTCTCTTCTTCTGCCACCAAGGAAATTCATCTAATATTTTTCATGTTGCTTAAGGGATGGGCGGGGGGGAATTCTGCCAGTGAGAGTCTGGAGCAGACACTGTGGGAAGGGAGGAAGGTGAAGGAAGGAGCTAAAGGATCTGCAGGGAAAAACTAATCCCTAAGCCTTTTCTTAGGATTTAGGTGAGAGGCAAAACCCAACAAGCTAAAAACTTGAATTAAGACTAACTTCCAACTAACTGGCAGACAGGAAACTTTCATGCAGGGAATAAGATTCATAAAGGGCAGATTCCTGATGTCATTTTCTCCATGTAGGGTATTTCTCCTCCTCTGCTGCCTCAATCTGACATTGGGATACCCTCAAAAAGTTTGACACTGCTAACTGCAGACCTGCAGCAGAGTGGTACTGGAGGCCGGGGAGGCCAAAAATGGGCCATGTGGGGGCTTTGCGGGGCCTCCGTGCAGCCTGTTTTTGGCCAGCACAGTGCTGCAGGAGGCTATGGAGGCTGAAAACGGGCACACACACACACACACCCTGTGGCCCATTTTGGCCAGCAGAGGCATCATGGGCTGATCCTTTGATACTTCCAGGTTGGCCCTGCAGGTCAGATAGCCTTGAGTTTGACACCCCTGTTCTAGAGTTTCTACATCTTTTTTATATCATGGCAACCAAAACTGGATGCAATATGCCAAGTGTGGTTTTACCCCAAGGTATTATAAAGTGGTATTAACACATTATGTGATCTTCATTCTATCCCACTGTTAATGCAGCCTGGGACTGCATTGGCTTTTATGGCAGATGCTGCAGGACTCCAAGATCTCTCTCGCAGTTACTACTGTGTTTCTCACAAAATAAGACTGGGTCTTATTTTCTTTGGGGTCCCAAAATAAGCACTAGGGCTTATTTTTGGTGTGTGTCTTATTTTCCCCCCATGTACAGAAGGCCCACTTCTTCTGCTTGTTCGCAGTGGGGCAGGAGAGCACGCAGTGTGCCACTGCCACTGCCACGAAGCAGGGAGGTGGAGTTTCCCCACATGGGCTTACTACAGGGGAGCCACACCCCATTTTGGCCGGCTGAAGGGAGAGAATCATAAACTTTAAGAACCAGTAAAAGAGGAATGGAAAAATCCCTATCTGTAGATCAGAATTTCTTAGTCTTGGCAAGTTTAAGATGGGCAAACTTCATGCTGCCTGGAGAATTCTGGGAATTGAAGTCCATGCACCTTAAACTTGCCAAAGTTGAGAAGCATGGGTTTAGATTAGAGTTTAGGATTTTCCATTCCTGTTTTATTTAATGTTTGGTGCAATTAAATAAATCAGTTGTGGTTTCCTTAACAAATAGTGATTAAAGCGATATGAACCATTACTGGATTTTTTGTGAGAAACTAAAATTAAAGGTTGATCTGGGGCTTTGATTATTAGATATGGGATTATGGAAATAATGTAGACAAATATTGATCTTAGAGTAAGAGTTTGATATATTTTTTACTTATATCAGGGTTGAATTGTGGGGTACTTGGTGCTCTCTGAGCTTGATGGTTTTCTTGCAGATGTTTCATTACCAAACTAGGTAACATCATCAGTACTAGAAGGGAGTGGAGTTTGCTCTTATTTTCATATACTAGTGGCTTACCCTGTCAGTGTTTTTTTTAATAAAGATTGTTATGTTTTAAGACAAACATATACAGACAAAACATAAAAACATAGAACCATCTTCCAGTTATATACATACAGTGTGTCAGTTGGTTACAAATCTTTTATGCTATCCTTTCATAGTCCTTACTCATAGGTTGTATAGATTGTCACATTGTTGATCTAACATATGCTTATATATTTATCGGTTATAAATCGTTCATTTAACTAAACTATTCCATCATTTTATACGAGGTATTCTAGATTTTATTATACATTTATATTATGCATTCGTCCAATGGTTATATATTTTTGTATTATGTTCTATATCAATCTCTTAGTGTTCTATTATAAAATTTCCTGGTCTATTTCATTACCATGTCTTTTTATCTAACCATTGATAAAATAAGTCCCATATCATATAAAATGGTTTATCTTCTTGTTCTCTAATTTCAAATGTCAATTTACTCATTTCTGCACAGTCCTTAATTTTCTTAATAACTTCCTCCTGCATAGGTATTTTTTCATTTTTCCAATTCTTAGCAAATACAATTCTAGCTGCTGTTAAAACATTTACAATCAGATATTTCAATTCTGTATTGTATATTTCCGGTATAATTCCCAATAAAAATATCTCTGGTTTAAAGTCTATGTGTTGTTTTATCATTTTTTCCAACCATGTGTGGATTTTAGTCCAATATCTTTTTGCATCCAGACACGTCTACCCCATATGGTAATATGAATATATCTGATGACATTTCCAACATTTATCCGATTTGTTCTTAAACATTCTCGCAATTCTCGCCGGGGGTAAATGCCACCTGTAAAACATCTTATACAAATGTTCTTTATAAGCAGTTGACATTGTCATTTTATAGTTTTGAGACCACAATTTTTGCCATTTCTCTAAATCAATTCCATATCCAAAATTTTCCCCCAAGCAATCATCATTTCTTTAACTTGTTCTTCCTCTAATTTAAATTCTAATAAATGTCCATAGAGTTCTTTAATTACCTTTTCATCAGTACCTGCCAAAATTTTATCTAAATCAAGTCAACTTATCATAGAAACCTTCTGTTTTAACATCTTTATCAAATCTAGATTGTATTTGTACATATGAAAACCAATTCATTTTTATACCTTGTTCTTCCGGTGCTTGCATAGATTTAAGTTCACCCTTTTCATTCAATATCTCACCATATCTAACTGTTTGTTCCTTTTTATATGTTATTGGATAAGAAAAAGCTTTGATAGTAGATAACCATAATGGAATTTTAAAATAATATTGCTTTTTTAACTTCTCCCAGTTTAAAAACAATGCCTCTCGAATATAATATCCCCATATAATGTCTTCTAAAATTCCCCTCTGTCAGTGTTGATCAGTTGCTTCACAAACAGTGTTTTGATTGGTGCCGGGTCTCTACAGCCTCAGGCAGAGAAGGGCTATTCTGCACCCCTCCCTCAAATGTTCTTTAAAATACAGAGTTTCCCAGCATTCCTTTAGGAACCTCCAACATGCAAACTGTGGTTACTCTTCCTAAAATGAATCCTCTACCTGGAGCTTCAAAATTTGCCGTTTGCTGGGGAGGTGTGTAGCTAAAGGTCAGTCTACATTTAGTCTACATCTGACTTTGGGGATATTTCTTCATAACCAAACAAAAGTGTATTTTCTGTGCAGCTCACACCCCTTGCCGCTGGATCAGGATGTCACAAAGCAAAGCCCATGTTTTGTAATTAACCCCCGCACCCCATTGTGGCTGGCAGAATGCAGCAGGAGGCAGAGTGCTGTCATGCCCACCCTGGCCACGCCCCCCCCAGCTCTCCGAGGTCAAACACAACCCTGATGCGGCCCTCAATGAAATTGAGTTTGACACCCTTGCTCTAGGCAGCTTACAAAAAATACTTTCAAGTCTTGCAAGATTCTGTTAACGTAGCCTTACAATAAAGGTAGAGCTACGGTAGTCCTTGTGGTTGTGTTTCTTGACTGAACTACCTTGAAGGGCTAATACAAGTAAGTTGGATTTGGATTTTCAGGTTGGGGGAGGAAGGGTTAGAGTTTTTGACATCTTGGGTAGTTTTGGATAAAGCGTTTCTCACTTTATGAGAATGAGTCAAAGTGAATGAGTCTGTACACTGAGAATTGCTAATGAATAATTGCTCTTTCTGTCATGTCGTATTCAGTTTTGTTTTCTTGTCCAGGGTTTCCATATTCAGAAGTGGAAACTTGTTGTAAAATACAGGTGAATATTTTTACTATGTGTAATTAAGTTAGCCCACCTTTGGCCTTAGATAGCCTAAGTAAACTGATTAAGACATTATTTTTAATTAACTGGATCATGGTGTTTCAGGTATGATCAGTACTTTTAATGTCTGTAAACTCAATGTACTTTTTTTTGCTTTTGTATATTATGTTTAAAGCCCTTGAAGTATTTGACCAAAAGAATCATTCTGTTTTTCAGTTTGAATTATTTTACAATCAACATTTCAGTGGAAGGAAACTTACCTGGTTACATTATCTTTGCACAGGTAAAATTAACCTAAAATAAACCTCTTTAGCTTTTGAAAGAATAACTATAATTTTTTTTTGCTTAACTGAAACATATACAACTTTTGAAGTTTTAATGATAATAATAATGAAACATTAAATTCAGATTATTTTCTCTGTCTTAACTAATCTGGTTATTTTAATATATCTCAGTTTGATATTTTTACTACATCTCTTGTGATTCTTATCTGTAAAAGCAATTGTTTTAAAATTTATATTTTATATTCTTGATCGATCATTTTCCAGAAAAAATGTTAAAAATGAATTTCATGAGTATAAGTTGAAGACAAGAAAATTTTACAATAAAAAGTGGATTAAGGCATACAGGTAGTCCTTGGTTTATGACCACTTGTTCAGTGATCATTTGAAGTTACGACAGCAGTGAACGAGTAGTACTTATGGCCTGTTCACAAAGTTTCAGCCCTCCCAGCACCTCCTCGGTCACATCATCAGGATCTGGGTGCTTGGCAACCACCTCACACTTAAAGTGATTGCAGCATCACATGATCACCATTTGTGACCTTCCATGTTGGCTTCCCACAAAGTCAAAGAGAAGCTGCCAGGGAAGGTCACAAAATGTTCTCAGAGTTCTCATACTCTGTTGCACATGTGCCCATAGCACCCTCACACCAGTGTACTTTCACCCACCCAGAAGCAGCCAGCCTTGCTGTGCTTGTGCTGTGGTGGCCACCTGCGCATCCTGTCACCTGGCAACAGCCACCCCTGGCCCCACTATACTCATGCCACACTGCAGCAGCCGCTTGCAATCTGCCTGGGACTTGTGACTTTCTGTTGGCTTCCCCACTGACTTTGCTTTCTGGAAAGGCAACAGGAAGTTGCGAGGAGGGTGCTGGCATAACACCCCATGCTCCTCACTTAATGATGGCAACAGGGACTGCCAGATTGCCATTACTAAGCAATGCAGTCATGTGATATTGCACTTTATGATCATATGGCTTAGCGACAGAAATTCTGGTCCCAATTACTGGTATTAAGTGAGGATTACCTGTACATGCAATTCTGAGCTTGAACCAAAAGTTGAGTATGTTTGATGGAAGGACAAAACTGAAAGCATCATGGATAAAAGTAAAGCATAAGCAGGTGGCACCATGCAGCTGATTTTGGCTGATTGGAGGAACCCTAAGATTGTCGGCTAAACAGGGAAATTGAAAAAATACACGGAAAGAAGATGGCGCCAAACTACTGCTTTGTTGCCCAAAGAATATGTGAATATTCTTAGCCACCAGGCCTGGAGCTTCAGAGTCTTTATATTTTATTCAAGAGAGTTCAGGGCACTGTGTATAAATGTTATGGCAAACAAGGTTTTTACAATACCTACACATGTAAGTTTTATTCAAATTCTTCTCTTTTAAATTAGCTGAATCAAGCATTTTAACTTAATTTTTTTAAAAAAGCTTCTATAGTCCCTGTTAGTTTTCAAAGTAGTATCCTTTTTAAAAATCTTAATTTCTCTTCAGGACAATCTTGCAAATTCAGTTCTTGTTTCTGAATTGCCCTACCCTTGGATCAAAGGTGACATCATTCTTGCACCCAAGGTGAAGGAACAATGACATGCTTTATTAATAATATGTGAGGTTTTTATTCAATTAATTCATCAGCTTTATACTTAATTTGCAGGTGAGGTAAAAATGAATTATTTGTGCAAGCCGTATGTAGCCATGGTTACCACCTACCAAATGGCAGTGCTACTGGCCTTTAACAATAGTGAAATCATTAGTTACAAAGAACTCCAGGATAGCACCCAGATGAATGAGAAAGAACTGATCAAAACTATCAAATCATTACTTGATGTCAAAATGATCAACCATGACTCAGATAAGGTAAGTTTTTTTTAAAAAAAAAGACACTATCTTTTTTTTGAGGTGGGAAGCATTTTATTGTTATACATTTTGAAAAAATACAAATAGAAGGTACAGATAGGAAAAACAGGTACGGTAGAGAAATACAGATGGATAAGCAACAAATCTGAACTCTCATGAAGCAAATATAATACAGGTGAAATTCAAAAAATTAGAATATTGTGCAAAAGTTCATTTATTTCAGTAATGCAACTTAATATGTGAAACTAATATATGAGATAGACTCGTTACATGCAAAGCAAGATAGTTCAAGCTGTGAATTGTCATAATTGTGATGATTATGGCTTACAGCTCATGAAAACCCCAAATCCACAATCTCAGAAAATTAGAATATTACATGCAATCACTAAAACAAGGATTGTACATAGAACAATATCAGACCTCTAAAAAGTATAAGCATGCATATGTACTCAGTACTTGGTTTGGGCCCCTTTTGCAGCAATTACTGCCTCAATGCGCCGTGGCATGGAAGCTATCAGCCTGTGGCACTGCTGAGGTATTATGGAAGACCAGGATGCTTCAATAGCAGCCTTCAGGTCTTCTGCATTGTTCAGTCTCATGTCTCTCATCTTTCTCTTGGCAATGCCCCATAGATTCTGTATGGGATTCAGGTCAGGCGAGTTTGCTGGCCAATCAAGCACAGTAATCCCACGGTCACTGAACCAGGTTTTGGTGCTTTTGGCAGTGTGGGCAGGTGCCAAATCCTGCTGGAAAATGAAGTCAGCATCCCCATAAAGCTTGTCTGCGGAAGGAAGCATGAAGTGCTCCAAAATCTCCTGGTAGACGGTTGCATTGACCCTGGACTTAATGAAACACAGTGGACCAACACCAGCAGATGACATGGCTCCCCAAATCAACACAGACTGTGGAAACTTCACACTGGACTTCAAGCATCTTGCAGTGTGTGCCTCTCCATTCTTCCTCCAGACTCTGGGTCCTTGGTTTCCAAATGAGATACAAAAGTTGCTCTCATCAGAAAAGAGGACTTTGGACCACTGAGCAACAGACCAGTTCTGTTTTTCTTTCACCCAGGTAAGACGCTTCTGACATTGTTTGTTGTTCAGGAGCAGCTTGACAAGAGGAATACAACATTTGAAGCCCATGTCCAGGATCCGTCTGTGTGTGGTGGCTCTTGATGCACTGACTCCAGCCTCAGTCCACTCGTTGTAAAAGTCCCCAACACTTTTGAATGGCCTTTTCCTGACAATCCTCTCCAGGCTGCGGTCATCCCTGCTGCTTGTGCACCTTTTTCTTCCACACTTTTCCCTTCCACATAACCTTCTATTAATGTGCTTTGATACAACATTTTGAGAACATCCAACTTCGTTTGCAATTACCTTTTGAGGCTTTCCCTCCTTATGGAGGGTGTCAATGATGGTTTTCTGCACAACTGTCAGGTCAGAAGTCTTTCCCATGATTGTGATTCCTACTGAACCAAACTGAGAGACCATTTAAAGGCTCAGGAACCCTTTGCGGGTGTTATGGCTTAAGTAGCTGATTAGAGTGGGACACTTTGAGCCTAGAATATTGAACCTTTTCATAATATTCTAATTTTTTGAGATTGTGGATTTGGGGTTTTCATGAGCTGTAAGCCATAATCATCTCAATTATGACACATCACGGCTTGAACTATCTTGCTTTGCATGTAATGAGTCTATCTCATATATTAGTTTCACCTTTTAAGTTGCATTACTATAATAAATGAACTTTTGCACGATATTCTAATTTTTCGAGTTTTACCTGTACATCATTAAAAACTTAGTATTGTCAGAATATGGATAAAAGGGAGCAATTATATATAGAGAGGATAAAATCAAAATGTATAACTGCTGTAAAGAAGATCAGAAACCATTTTTTCTATCTTTTTTCTGTCCTTTATTTCCTATTCACTTATTTTTCTTTTTCTTTAAATTTGTATTCTTTTTACTCTGAAAAACCTCTTTAATAAACATTAATTTTAAAAAAGCTTATATTAAATACGATACTTCATACCATTTTTCCAATTAAAATCTACATGTCCAATTGAACTTAAAGTTAAAAACTCTTGGTAACTCAGTTCTGATCATTAAAAAAGACTAGTTATTGAGTAATGCATTAAATCAATGCTATATACATTATATATTAAATTAAGATAAGAATTTCAAAACTCAAATTTTGGATTTGGCATGATTCCATGGAAAAATTGTAGTCCAAGAATGGTTTTCCAGTTAAAATTAATTTCTGTATTGGATTTACTTTTTAAATTTTAGACATCGAGGCATGCTCCCACAATTTAGTTAGCCATTTTACCAAAAACAGTTGTTTTCTCAAGTTGTCTGTCTGGGTACAAATAGTTTTAAGAAATAGTAATCAAAATATTTACAACAGTAAAATGCCCAGCAAAAATACTTTTGGTTTCAAATCAATATGTTGTTTTACCATTTTTTCCAGCCATGTATGTATTTTTGTTCAGTATTTTTTTGCTTTTGGACATGTCCACCACATATGATAATACGAACCAGGTGTCTGATGGCATTTCCAACATTTTGTGGACATATCCTTAAACATCTTTGCTAACCTTGAGGGTGGAAAATGCCATCTGTAAAGCATTTTATAAAGCTTTTCTTTATATGCAGTTGACATTGTTAATTTATAATTTCTATCCCATAGTTTCTGCCATTTAACTAATTGAATCGGGTAACCAAAAATTTTAGCCCTTATTATCACGATATGTCTCTTTTACTTGTTCATCTTCCGTCTTGATACTTAACAAATAGCTATATATTTTCTTTATTAGTTTTTCATCTGTCCCTGTTAGTATCTGGTCTAATTCTGTTAGTTCTTTATAGAAACCATACATTTTAACATCCTTCTCATATCGGGATTGTATCTGCACTTGTGACCAGCATGTTATATCAATTCCTTGACCACTCAGTTCCTACTTAGTTTTAAGTTCCCCCCTTTCATTCAAAATATCTTTATATCTACTAATATTTTCCAAATCAATAACATTTGTATGTATCAATGCCTCCATTGTGGAAAGCCAGACCAGTATTTTCAAATAGTGATGTTCTTTCATTTTCTCCCATACTAATAATAATGTGTTTCTAATGTAATGTCTTTGGAAATACTTATGTATTTTGTTTTTTCCATACCATAAAAAAGCATGCCAACCCAATTGGAGATCATGTTCCTCCAGAGTCAATAATCTTTTGTGCCTCAAACCAATCCATTCTTTCACCCAAGTAAGTACCAAATCCTGAGAATACAATTGCCAATCTGGCAACCCAAAACCCCCTCTGTCTTTAGAATCTTGCAACATTTTCAAACTTATCCTTGCTTTTTTCCCTTGCCAAATATATCTTAATATTGTTTTATTTAATTCTTCGAAGTATTTTTTTCCAGTTTTATCAGTATTTTTTGAAATAAATATAATAATCTCTGCAAGATATTCATTTTTATAGTAGCTTTTCTTCCCATCAACAACAGTTGCAAGTTTTTCCACTTCTCCAAGTCTGTTTTAATTTGTTGTGCCAGTTTATAGTAGTTCTTTAATAGTTACACACCTTGCGGTTAGTTGAATTCCTAAATATTTAACTTTCTTGACTATCTGAATACCTATCCTCTTCGTTAACTCTTTTTTTGTGTATCTGTAAGATTTTAAACTAATATTTTAGTTTTTTCTTTGTTTATTTTCAATCCTGCAACTTCACCATATTCTTCTATTTTTTTAAATTAATGTGGGTCCAGTTTCTTGTAGATCTTCAAGGATAAAAACCAAATCATCTGCAAACGTCTGTAACTTGAATTTTTCCATTTTTATTTCCATACCTTTAATTTCTATGTCTTTTCTAATATTTCTATTTAACACTTCCAATGTCAATATAAATAGTAAAGGGGATAGTGGACATCCTTGTCTTGTGCCTTTTTTATATTAAAATTCTCTGTTGTATCCCCATTTACACCTTTGCTGTTTGCTTCTGATATATTGCCTTGATCATGTTGATAAATCTCTCACCAAAGTCCATACATTTTAGTTGTAATAACATAAATTGCCAGTTTATGTTATCAAATGATTTCTGCATGTCTAGGAAGATCAATGCCATTCGTTTTCCTGGTGTGCTTCACAATATTCCAAAGTATTTAAGATCATTCTCATATTGTTTTTGAGCTCTCTTAGGCAGGAAGCCATTTTTGATCTAGATGTATAAATTCATTCAGAAACCTTTTTAGTCTCTCCACTACTATTGAAGCATATATTTTGTAATCAGCATTCATTAAGGATATGGGTCTATAGTTTTTTATCTGCATTAAATCTGAATCGTCTTTCAGTATAAGGGTAATATTTGCTTTCATCCACGAATTTGGTACCTTCGCTTCTAACAATACTTCATTATAAATTTCCAACATTGATGGGCCTACAGTTCTTGTAAATGTTTATAAAATTCTGCTGGCAGCCCATCTGGTCCTGGTGTTTTATTATTCTTTTGTCTCTTGATTGCTTCTGACAATTCCATCATTGATATTTGTTCATTTAACATAGCTTTCACTATTTCAGGTACTTTAGGTAGTTCAGCTTTTTCCAAATATTGTTTTATTCTCTCTTCTGAGATTTTCTCCTGCTCATACAGCTTTTCATAACAGACTTGAATTATTATTATTTTTTCCTCATTTTGATAGTATAGAATTCCTTTCTCATCTACCAATTGGTGTATCAAATTCTTCTCTTTCTCTGTTTTCAATTTATATGCCAACCATCTTCCTGGTTTATTCGCATTTTCAAAGAAGTTCTGTTTAGCACGTTTAACTTTTTGTGCCAATTCTTCTTTATCAAGTAAATTCAGTTTATGTTTTATTAATTCCATTTGCTTTTTTAGATTCTTTTTGTGGTTCTTTCTGTAGTTATAATTCTGGTCTTTTGTGTTCTTCTTCTAACATCTTTTGGTTTTGTTTCTTTTTCTTATTTTTCTTTCCTGTATAGG